ACAAGATTAATAGCAACCTAAAACCAAGAGAATCATATCTTCCATAAACTATCCCTTTCAAACCATATAAAAATTTATATACTCTACACTATGCTAAATGTTCCATCAACTCATTCCTTACAATATTCATATGATGGGTATTAGCATCATCCCCACTCTTTAGATGATGTAATTGAGTCTTACAGCCTGAGAAATGTACCCAAGGTTACAAAGCTAGTAAGTGGCAAAAAGCCAAGAGTCTTGACTCTAAAATCCACACTATTTACCCACTGCTACACTACTTATTACCATAGTGTAGATGAAAGGGCACTTAGCTTCATCCCTTAGGCAAAACACTTGACCTTACTGAGCAGTGTGTCATCAGTAAATGAGGGCAATGACAGCTGCCTATCCTTCTCTACCGCATCTGAGTGATGCTGAAAGAGTTAATGCGGCTAGCCAGCCATGGTGAAACAGGCCTTTAATTCCAGCACTTGGGAAGCAGAGGCAGGAGGATTTCTGTGAGATCGAGGCCAGTCTGGTCTCCACAGCAAGTTCCAGGCCAGCTGGAGCTACAGGGAGACCCTGTCTCAAAAAGACCAAAAAAAAAAAAAAAGTTAATGCATTTGTAAATAACCTATAAAAAGGGTATTGAGGTTGGAGAGATGGCTCAGGGGTTAAGTGCACTGGCTGCTCCTTCAGAGGACCCGGGATCAAATTCCAACACCCACATGGCGGCTAACAACTATCCATAACTCCAGTTCCAGGGGATCTGACACCCTCTTCTGACCTCCCTGAGCATTGCATGACATGGGTGCAGCTACCTGCATGCAGGCAATACACTCATACACATAAAAAATATAAAAATTAAAAATAAAATTTTTAAAAAACAAGAGGCACTTTGTAAATATAAAATTTGTTAAGATGAATGTAAGAATCATGCATTTTTAGCCTTCCAAATGGCTCATAGACCTGAAAACAAGTTTACTAATAAATTTTTTTGGTCTATTTTTTTTTGAGACAGGGTCTCCCTGTAGCCCCAGCTGTCCTGGAACTCACTATGTAGACCAGGCTGGCCTTGAACTCACAGAGATCCGCCTGCCTCTGCCTCCCAAGTGCTGGGACTAATGGTTTATTTTTAAGTGTATGTGTGTGTGTGTCTGTGTGTGTGTATACACATGCATGCACACTGAGTGCAGGTGTCCACAGAGGTCAGAAGCACTGGATACTCCTGGAGTTACAGGTGGTTGTGATGTGAGTGGAGGGAACCAAATTCCATTGCTCTACAAGAGCAGTACAAATTCTTAACCAGTAAGCCATCTTTCCAGCCCCTAATTCGGTCATTTTTAACATCCCCAAGCAAAACTGTAGTTTTAAAAAACAAACATTTTAGAAAAGACAAAACTAGAAACAGTTAAATGAACAGTGGTAGGCCACCCTGGACTACATAGTGAGTTTGAGGTCAGTCTGGGTTACATAGTGAGATTATAAATACATAGATATATACATATATTCATACAGACAGTGACAAGACTGAGGTAGAAGGATCAGGAATTTGAGGACAGCCTAGCACAGTAAAATATTGTCTCAAAAAACAACCAACTGGAGGCTGGCAAGATGACTCAGTGGGTAAAGGCGCCTGCTCCCAAGCATGATGACCTGAGTTCAATCCCTAGGGACTCATATGGTAGAAGGTCTTCTGACTTTCATACATGCCTGTAATACACATATACACAAACATTAAAAAAAATCAACCAACTTAAAAAAAAAACCAATGGTGCTAGCAGTTGGGGAGAGGATGACTAGGTGGAATACAAGGTGTTCTGGACACAGGTTATTACACACTTGTCAAAACTCACATAATAGTATAACACCAGTAAGCCCTGTAAACTATGGGCTTAGTCAATAATAACATCTGTGTTGCCTGAACACTTGTAACCATACTACTGAACAAATGTTGCATACCACTACAACATGTAAATAATAAGAGGAGAGGGTCTGTGTGAGAGGGAATATGAGAACTCTATACTTTGTTTTTCTTAAAAATTGCTCAAAAATGCCTACTGACCTTTTTATAGCTATATTAACTATTGAGACACCTGAAATTTGACTAGTCTGACTGAAAAACAAAATTTTAGATTTTTATATAAGAAACTGAAACTGGGCCCAGTGGCACAGACCTGTGATCCCAGCTAGTCAAAAAAATTAGCCACATGTGGCTAGTGCCTACAATACCAGCAGTTTTAAGACAATTCCTCAAAAGATACCAAGAAATATACTATAATATTACCTTTAGAAAAATTACCTCAAAGGACCGTTCAAGTAAATGTAGTTATGAAACCATGCTACAATTAACTGAGCAGGTCAAGAGTAACTAGGCACTTGAGCCCAAGAGTTCAAAGCCAGCCAGATGAACATAGCCAAGATCCTGTCTCTTTTTAAAAATGTCAGCCAGGCATGGTGGCGCATGCTTTCAATCCCAGCACTAGGGAGGCAGAGGCAAGTGGATCTCTGTGAGATTTGGGTCAGCCTGGGCTACAGGGAGACCCTGTCGCAAAAAAAAAAAAAGGTGGGTATAGTAATCCCACTTGGGGAGGCCAGCCTGGACTCTGTTTCAGGAAAAAAAAAATGACTAGGCAGATGATTCAAACCAACAAATCCCATTTCCAAATTTCCTCATTTCAAGTCTTATAATCAAATAATAACAAATCACATTTCTTTCCATTCTTTCACTATTTTAAAAACAACTGAATATCTTAACCATTGTTTCTGGTTCCTGCAAAACAAAAGTATACAGGTTAAGTTAGAAAATAGAACTTTTTTTTTCTCAAGTCAGTAACTTAGAATCAATAAAGAATCATAAGGGAGTAACTAAAAAGTGATTTTTACAGACACAAGATAGTCACCCAATTTTTTAAATGAAAATTCAAAAAGTAATGTTAATTTCAACTCTATGTCATGGTCAGGTAGAAACCAAAAGAAAGATTCCCAGAAAAGCATGCACTCCTGGAGTACAAGTAAGCAAAACTAAGACAACAGACATGTATAACTATTTATATCCAGTTATTTACCAGAGCTCTGTACCTCCCAGGGTCATTACCGCTTATCTTGATAGTTTAAAATACTAGTTGATTAAACCTTACTTCCTAATTCAATGACTTTTTGTCCTTATCCCAGTGGCATAATAGGGAACTTATGTCCTCAATTGCAGAGGCTTTTTATAAGAGTTCTCCCCTGGGGAACCTATGAAATCAAACACTGAGGCTAGCTCCCCACCCTTAGGGAATAAGTGTCCAAAGTGACAGCGTTGAATCCCTAAGTACTGTCAGTCCACAGCTTCTTTTCCAGTCCTATGAGCACTAGATCTTTCTTTTATGAGAATATTTTAATAAAAATCTCATACAGAGACAAGAAATACTCAACCTTAGAAAAAAGGCCCCAAAGGCCAGCCTGGTGGTTCACAGCTGTAATCCCAGCAGTCAGGAAACTGAGGCAGGAGGATCACTGCAAGTTCAAGGCCAACCTGAGTTACACAGTGAATTGAGGCCAGCCTGCTACACAGTGAGATTCTGTCTCAAAAAACAAAAAAAAGGAGGGGGGGAAGGAAACAGGCCCCCAAAAGCAGATTCTTGACTGCTCAAATGTAAACCAGACCTTTGTTCTCCCTTTTGAAGTTTGTGAATAGCATTAGAAAAATATTATTTCGTAACTTCATACAGGAGTGGCTTTTAAGATTAGTCAAATACATAATTAAGTAACATTAAATAGCCCTGAGTGGTCAAGAAGGACGTCCAACAAGTTGAGCGCTTGGACATATTCACCTGCAAGGAATAAGGACGAGATTTTCACCTACTCAGTCCCACACACCCCAATTCTCAGTTCCTGGGCCCAGAAAGCCCTGTACCCAATTCGTTGTGCAATGATTGTCAAAACTCCACCCACTGAGCTCCAGAACAAGTGGAATTCTCCCATTCTGAAAGAGATCGCGATTTTCCTGTATCCAGGGAGACACTGAAAACTCCTTGACATGAGTCAAGTAAGTCAAGGGGGAACAAACGGTCCAGCTCGATTAAGAAAGACCAAAACCCGGACCGGGGAGGCACTCAAGTTTCCGCTTACCAAATAAGAAAGAAAAGAAAGAAAAGAAAAAGAAAAGAAAGAAAAAAAAGAAAAGAAAAAGAAAGAAAAGAGGAAGGAAGGAAGGAAGGAAGGAAGGAAGGAAGGAAGGAAGGAAGGAGGGAGGGAGGGAGAGGGATAGGAAAGGACTGGGAATACTGGCTATCAAACGATGCTGCACCTAAGAGCAAGACGTTGACGTACTCCAGCATCACCTCCTCATCCCCAGGTTCACGTGCAAAGCAGGTCCGTGGTACCCAGAGACGAAGCCCGCGGTGTGGGTCCCGTGAGCCCCGCGGCGTCCGCCCGCGCAGTAGCGGAGAGCGCGGGGGGACGAGGGGGAGGGGGCGAAGCGCAGCCCCGGCTCCCGCGCTGTTATCTTACTGCGCAACAGCCTCGCCTCCCCGGCCCTAGAGCACCCCGCAACGCGCCCTGCGCACCTGCCCGACCCTCAGAGGGTGATCCCGTAACCCCTACGAGCACCCCGTCCTCCCCGGCGGCGGAGTCCCAGCGCCAGGCGCACAGTGACCGCACGGGCAGAGAAACAGAACACCTGACGCCCTGGGGCAGCGCCGGCCGCACGTGGCTGTCACACCTGGCGCGCCCCAGCCTAGCACCCCTTCGCCCTCTTAGACCCGGGTCCACCCTACCCTCCCTCAGTCCCCAACCGCCGTGCGCCCCCTAAATCCCAATCATCGTCCCTTCCCAGCCCATCCACCTCAGTCCCACACCCCCACCTGCTCCCAACTGTCATCACCCGACCCCACCCGGAGGGAAAAGGGGAAAAGGGCCGGATGTTCGTCCCAGAGCTTAAGGTAACCGGAGTGAGTGAAGAGGTGGACCCCGAAGAAAGGGAGCCCGAGCATCCCCGCGACCAACCGCAACGAAGGTGTCCCCTCACTGACCTTCTGCCGCGGGCTGCGTTGCCGTCCGCCCCGTCCGCCCTCAACAGCCTCCTCAACGCCGCCGCCTCTTCCCCGCGCTGCCTCCTCTACCCCCGTCGCCATGAGGTGACGGCAGCAGCCAAACAAGCGGCCGGACTAGGGGCACGGAACCTCTCAGGGGCTTCTGCCCCGCCCTCGCCCCGCCCCAGCCAATCACCGCGTGAGAACCTTCTCACGTGACCGGAGGAGGTTGGCTCCGGGGAGAAAGCAGAGAGATGGGGGTGGGGAGCCTTGAATTCTGGGCTGGGCTTCTGAGGACCGAAGGGCAGACAGAGGCCGCTCGAGTCTGCGCGGACCGGGAGAGGGACACGAAAGTGAACTACAAGTCCCAGTAGGGTGTGCAGCCAGTACTTTCAGTCACTGATCTGGATTGGTGCATTCTCCGGAGTTCTGAGAATACCTCTGTGCTGCCTGTTCAGCCTACTGGAACTTGTAGTTTCTAAGGGGAAATGTCTCGGTAACCGGAAGGTAGTCATTAGCCTACAAGAAAAGTTTAAAAATATTCCAGACTTCGAGAAGGAATAGAATCGGGGACACTTTGTTGTGCTTCTGTTTTTGTCGCTGTTCTTCGGAACGGAGCGCGAATGACTTGGGAATAGGGGGTATAAACTTCGCTATTTTCAATGTAGGAGGTGTATTCCCAGGATATGAGACATTGGACTCTGACACTTGCCCGGAGTCCAGCTTCTCTTCCAGAGTTCTCACCATGGTTTAACTGTCCGAAGTTCCTTTGGGGGTGGAGGCTGCATCCTGTTCACCTTGGCTGAACTGCTCCGGCTTCCAGCACAGTTCTCCACGCTTACTACGAGATGAACTCTTGTGGAATACTTTATCTTGCTTTCTCCACCTTCGTTTCGTTAATTAATAATTTCAACAAACTCGGTTTACAGGATCAGTTACTTTTCTTGATATGATGGAGAGGGCCCGCCTCAGAAATATTGCCTGTTCCCATCTGTTGGAACCAGATCTTCAGTGGCCTAGCTTCTGCAAGTCATAGACCATAACGAAATCCAGACATGCAGTTTGAAATAAATAATTTAAATAAAATTATGTAATTAAAATGTAAATAAAAATTTACAAATTTTTGAATTTTGAAAGAAAAATGTTAAATTCATTATGAAAAGTGTGCAGATATTCCACTTTTACTACAATTGAACACAGAACAACGGCAGCAGGAGCCAAAAATTTGATTACATGCATGAGAGTAAATCTCAATTGGGAAAAATCTTGGAAGCAAAACTGGTTTTGGTTTTGCATTTTTTGTTGTTGTTGTTCTTGTTTTTCCTGTTTTGTTTTGTTTTTGAGACAGGGTCTCCCTGTAACCCCTGCTGGCCTTGAACTTGATATGTAAACCAGACTAGCCACAGTCTCACAGAGATATGCCTGCCTCTGCCTGGTGAGTACTGGGATTAAAGGAGTGTGCCACCATGCCCAGCCCTGCTTTTGATGATGATGATGATGATGATGATGTTTTGCAGTGCTTCAGATAGAGCCAAGGATCTCAGGCATGCTAGGCCAATACTCAACCACTGAGCTACACACTACCCCAGTTCAATTGAGGAAATTCTTAATTTGAATTATGGATTTTTTTTGTTTTTTTTTTTTATCATTTTGAGACAGGGTCTCCCTGTAGTCCCAGCTGGCCTGGAACTCACTATGTAGACCAGGCTGGCCTCAAACTCTGAGATCTGCCTGCCTCTGCCTCCCAAGCGCTGGGATTAAAGGCATGTGCCACCACACCGGGCTTGAATTATGTTTTAAATTTGGGGAAACTACCATTATTCAGACACGTCAGTCCAGGTTTGAGATATAAAAACAAAATCATCGCTTAAGACATAGGTGACAAATGATGATGAACCTATAGCCAGACCCTATATTCCATCTCTCATCTTCTAAAAGAAAGAAGTCTCAACCACACGTAAAATAAGTTTATCAGGAGTGCAATTCTCCATGGCTCTGAGTACCAAAAATGCACTCTAGTTAAATGATAGTACAATAGAATAGCAGGCAGCTACAAAAATTATAAGCATTTGAGGAAAAAGACCCATCTATACAGAATAGCATGAGAATATATCTATGAGATGTTTAAACTATTACTTCTCAATACATTAATTCTTTCCCTGAGTGTTGAGAGTGGAGAGTATTTTTACTTCATGATTTTAGGTATTAAGTGTGTTAACTAGGCACGGTGACAAATGCCCATTTGGGAGGTAGATACAGGAGGATCAGGAATTCAAGATCATCTTTGTCTACATAGTTACTTCCTAGCCAGTCTAGACCCTGTCTCAAAAACAAAAGCTTTTCATTGTATTTATTTACACACATCGTTACAAAGGGGATTTGAAATTAACAATAATACAGAATGGTTCAATATGTGTCAACATGTATAACATGAACCTATGTATTGATATATAGACATAATGTAACATATGTATGTATAGTATATAAACACAAAGACCCATGGGAAAAAATGAAAACTTCTGGAGAGATGGCTCGGCAGTTAAAAAGCACCGGCTGCTCTTGCAGAGGACCTGGATTCAGTTCCCAGTACCCACATTGAGTGGCTCACAACAGCTTGTAACTCTAGTTCCAGAGGATCAAACACCCTTTTCTGGCATCCATGGGCATCAGGCATGCACATGGTGCACATACATACAGCCAAGCACTCACACATATACATTAAAAAATAAATATTAGGGGCTGGAGAGATAGCTCAGCAGTTAAAAGCATTGGCTGCTCTTGCATAAGACCCAGGTTCAAATCCCAGCACCCATTATGGTGGCTAACAATCATTAGTAACTCCAGTTCCAGGGGAATTTGACAGTCTTTTCTGGTCTCTGCAGACATTGCATGACACGGATGCATTTAACACTCGTAACACTCATACACATTAAATAAATATATAAGTAAAAAGTAAAAAAAAAGTTAATCTTTAAAGACAAAAAAAAGAAAGAAAGAAATGGAGCTGGACATGGTGGCACACACCTTTGATCCCAGCACTCAGGAGGCAGAGGCAGGCAGACCTCTGTGAGAGCGAGGCCAGCCTGGTCTACATAGCGAATGTCAGGCCATCTGGGGCTAAAAAGACCAGAAAGAAAAAGAAATGACAATAAAGTAAAAGAATAGGAAAATGGGATGACATCATGGTGAGCTGAATATATATATACCACATGTAAGACATAAAGGTGAAATACACGAGCTATAGGCAAACCAAAATTTTTATTTTGTGCTTCTTGGCCACTGACTAAAGAGGAATACACAATTTACAGATTGACCTGCCAAATAAAAGCAAACTGGGTGCACTAGAATAACAGTGATATTTTAGGTCTTGTGAAAAATAGCCAGACCTGGTGGCACATGCCTTTAATCTCAGTACTCGGGAGATAGAGGCAGGTGGATCTCTGAGATTAAGGCCAGCCTCGCCTACATAGTGAGTTCCAGGCTAGCTGGGGCTATGGGGAGACCCTGTCTCAAAAAGACCAAAAAAAAAGAAAGAAAAGAAAGAAAAAAGTAAAAGAAAAATAATGAATTGTGTGTGTGTGTTAGATGCATATGTGTTCACATGTGTGTATGGGTGTGCACCCCCATGTGGAGGCCAGAGTTTGGGGGGGTCTTCCTCAATCATTCTCCACCCCCTTTTTTTTTTTGGCTGGGCATTCCACTGCACCACTGTCGATGTCATGAGGGTGACGGCCATCGACATTGCAGCCCACAGATTGTGCAGTGCCCAGAATCTCTTTAATAGTTCCAGAAAGTTCTCTAGCTAAAGATCAGTGCTACATCTCTAGGGCAATGTTGACAATTTCATCAAAAGTGATCACTTCCACTGTGTTTAATGTTTTTCTGCCTCTTTCTGTCTCTTGGAGGCTCATGGAGGGCTTTGATGATCAGGGTAGAGGCAGAGACCTCAGTCTGGGCCTGTCTTTTCTGAATAGTCAGTTTCACTGTAATCCTCAGAACTTTCCAATCTCCAGTTGCTTTGGCAATGTTATCACTAACTTCTATTGGAGACAGACCCAGGGTATCTTAGGGGCCAAAGGGAATGTGGCACCAACTTTGTCTCCAGTGCACCTCAGGTACAAAACTTTGATCTTTGAACTTGGGGGCGTGATGGAAGTGGCTGGTGTTGGATGAACCTGGATTCGAGACGACCAAAGAAAGTTGCATCTTAGAGCTTGGATGATGTGGCTCTGCCCACAGAAAAAGCGTAATCTGAACTTCCCCTCCAGGAAGCTCCCTGCCCCAACAGTATTATGGGTATCATTGATACTCCTGAATGCATCCTGAGCATGCTGTCCCACTCCTCAGTGCCAGTGGCATGTCTAATTGATACTATCACCAGCAAGATGGTAGTGAGCACAGGGATGAGCCATGGAATGTGTGTCCTCTATGCCCACAAAATGCCAGGCACAGAGAAAACTCTCAATAAAGACTCATTTTAAAAAAATTCCCCTGTACCCAGGCATGGTGAGCTGGGGAAAATAGCTCAGTTGATAAAGTACTTGTTAGCAAACATGAGGACCAGAGTTTGATCCCCTGAATCCACATAAAAAGCTGGGCTCTAGCCGGGCGTGGTGGCTCAGGTCTTTAATCCCAGCACTTGGGAGGCAGAGGCGGGCGAATTTCTGTGAGTTCAAGGCCAGCCTGGTCTACATAGCGAGTACCAGGCCAGCTAGGGCTACAGGGAAACCCTGTCTCAAAAAGACAAAAAATAAAAATAAAAAAATCTGTAATCCCAGTGTTTAGCAGGCAAAGAGCTTGCTGGCCAGACAGCCTAGCCTAGCCTAATCAGTGAGTCCCAGGTCCTAGTGAGATACCCTGCTTCAAAAAACAAGATGGATTGTGCCTGAGGACAAATGATACTCTGGTTAGCCTCTGGGCTACACTCATGCACACAAAGAAAAAAGAGAAGGAAGAAAGAAAAAGATTAAGAGAAAGATCCCCTGAATAGGTAAGATGCACCGATTAAAGTGTTTTCTGAATCTGTTCAGATGAGGACCAAACCTTCAGTTCCCTAAGGTGATATCTTTTCCTGTAATCTTTTGGAGACCCTTCTGCTGGTGACATACCTCTGTAATACTGTGAGGACCTGGAGGTGCCCTAAGACCAAGATGACCTCAGGAGAAAGTTGGTAGCAACACTTCATTTTCATTCATCAATTAAACATTTACTGAATA